CATAATTTTAGACTTTGATAGTGTTTGGCATCGCTTCATTGCGCCATAAAAGAAGGAACTTCCCTATTAGGATAACTAGGTCATGTGATCTTGCTCCACCAAACAATAAACACAATGCAAAATAAAAATTACAAAAACTTGCCCATTCGCAACAAAAGCTGGAAAAAAATCAAAATTGCTTGAAAACTGTAAATATTTCCTTTCCTCATCACATCAAAATGCAGAGGACAAAATAACGATAACATTTTCAAATTAAAGTTTCAGCTGTCCCTTTGATTTTACATGCCATCAAAGGCACAAAAATGTACGTATTCATCATGGAATAATGTATAAAAGAGTAGCAAATAATGTGAAATTGTCCATATAATTTAATTAGATAGATTTGTTTATTTCAGTTTAGCACTAATTATGTAAAATTCTACTGTGCTGTCTGTCTACTCTTGTTAAAAATGCAACTTTTCCACAGCTTTACCCTTTATTAAAAGTAAAAGAGTGGGTTAATAAATTTCAATTGCATCCTTTTTTGGATATTATATCAATTAGTATTTGCTCTAATTATTAATCTGATATTTGAACTGATATTTTCTGGTTGCTTTTAAGCACGAAAACCATTCTTCCTCTTTGGTGTTTAACAAAGAAAGCAAGGTATCAATTTACCCAAGTAGGACAATTTATAGTTAAATGGTCAATTAAACTAGTATCTAAATATATATTAGTTGTCAATAAATAATATTTTGATGTTAAAAGATCTCTTTTTTAAGCATGAACACATCAACGAAATGGCTGCTGAATTAGGAGCTGCTTCTGCGAAGCCCAAAAGCAAGAAGAAAGTTAGTGAAAAGAAAGAAGAAAACGATGATGATGTCCAAATTATTTCCTGAAAGTTTTCTTTTTAATGTTGAATCAACTTTATTTTTATATATGTTGAGAATGTATATATTCATACAGAAAGCTTATATCATTATGTATAATCAATAAATAAATAGTGTCTATGATTTGAGAAAAAGTTATTTTATTGGAGTGTTTTCTCGTATAAGAAGTAGCATTTTTTTATTAATTATTACTTATTCAAACTTACTTTTTTTTATTATGTTATATACGTTATTTTTTTAGTTTTTGCTTTATAACATTTAAAAACTGCGTCATACATAAAATTCCATATGAGCGAAAGGAAAATGAAAGTCATATGATTATTTTTTATTTTAATAATTAATATCAAACCAGTATTAAATGAATCTCACATTATTGAAAATAGTTCTTTGCTGCTGTGACATTAGCTCTATATATGCAATGAGATTTGAGTGTTTTGGGCAACTTAAGGAATTTCTTAAAACAATTTCTATTAATATTTCTTGATATTAATGGGTCTCTTTGGGAAATATACGCCCATATTTAAATATGAAACCAGGATCAAACGAATTCCACAATACAAAAAAATTTAATGTTAGTTCGATATATGCAATGCGAAGAAACCATTTATTCTATATAACGAATTTGTGTCATAGAAAGTGGTCATGTTTTAAAGCATGTTTCACGGATTCGATCATTCTCTTTTACTTCTTTTTATTTGTATTTCCTATTAACAGTGAGATATGAAGTTGCATTAAGTCTAATGTTTTTGACGAAATCCGTAACATCCAAAAAAAGTAAATTGATTTTTGTAATTTGATAAAATTCTTGCCCAGAGTATTTGCCAGGAAACGCTTTCATCCAGGGTTTGAAAAAACCCAACCCGCCCGCGTTTTATTGAAAAAACCCGGGGTTTTCCATTTAGTGCTCATGAACTTTAAAATTTTACTGTGTGATATTTTATAGTCTTTAAAATTTCACTATTTAATAAATCTTTTTATTCATTAAATAGTGTTATTTATAAGATTAAAAATACAAATAAATCAAAAAAGTTTGTACAAAATATATATATAATAAAATTAAAATAGTTTTAAATAATGCACTAGTATCACTAATATGTCTTGGAATCTTCATTGTTAAATACACAAAGTTTCACAATTTTTATCTGAAGCACTATAAAACATAAATGGAATAGTAATATAAAAGGAACAAGTTTATTAATCTTTTTGTTTTCCCACACCTTTATTTATTAAGCATATATATATTACTTAATACAAATTTATAATCAATTAATATTTATAAGCAGTAAAAACTAAAATTTCTTCTGACTTTTACCTTAAATTAAATTAAACTGGAATAAATATTTAATGTTCTTCCATGTTTTTATAATATGATTAATAGAAAGTGAAATTAAAACTATGTATAACTATAAAAAGTATCAGTTACTTGTCCCATTTTTCAAATATTTATCCTTAGAAAAAAAGACTGCATATTTGGATAAATTTTAACTTTATAATTTCAAAAAACAAACTAATCTTAAAATAATAAAAAAAACATGCATAAAAAGATTTAACTTATTTTTTTAAAACCAGAAAATAAAACTTTAAATTGTTAATTGTTGTTTTATGTATCACCTAATAGAAAAGAATCAAAACAGCTGCTATGCGTCATGCCGTAAGTGGACAAGCATTGTCATGTAGGAGCGCAACACCTGCAGTAAACATTCCACGACTCTTGTTTTGAATGGCAAGTCACAATTTCCGCTGTGTTTCACAGTGACGGTAGACTTCTGTCACACACTGGTTCCATTCACAGGCGGCAGAGTTCTATGACAGAGCGATACAAAAGTTGATCCCACGATACGACAAGTGTCTCAATTCTGGTGGTGGCTATGTTGAAAAATAGCTTAAACGTTGGTGCACTTGTTGCTAATAAATATGATTCTGAAAGTGCGAGTTATTTTTTTTTATAAATTAGGGAAACTTACTTTCTGGATGCGCCTCGTAACAAGACCAATTTGTGAAAAAACCCACCAAGTGAGTTTTTTCAAGGTGTGCCCACCGATTAAAACCCGGGCGGGTTTTTTCAAAGTGGGCCCACTTGGCGAACCCTGGTTTCATCCCAAGCGAAAACATTTACTTGACCTTTTATATTTCAGTTAGTGCATGAAAACGGGATTCAATCTCAATTAAATGAATAATATCGTTAAAAAGTTTGAACATTAAAATTTCATTGCTATTCAATTATGAAAGAAACTAGTAACTTGCATGCATTTGGGCACATATAAATTCTTCAGAATTTTAATTTTTTTTGAATTTTAACAATTTCTTACATTAATATCTAAATATTTCTGACTAGGATGAAAGCTTTGTACACTTAACTCAAATATCAATGGATCGCATCGTTGAAAAGTACGTGTTTTTGATCTCTCTTTCTCTCTCTCTGTATATATAGGGTATCTGCGCACCTGGAAAGTCATGGATTTAGGTCGCCAAAAAATCTAATTTTTAAATTTAAATTACCCCCAAATTTTACTGTGTTCCGAATATCTGAATTTGTAACGAAATCCCCACTCACAGTCATATTTTATTAAAATATAAAATGTTTTTATCATGTTCTTTAAAAATTATGATATTCTTTCAAAAAATGAAGGAAAAAACATCATTTCTAGAGCGAATTATTTTTTAAACTTCTGTGATTTTAGAATTTTTGTTGTTGTTTATTTTATCAACTTCAAATTCTAGCAGAAGCAAGCCAGTCTTTGGCGATTTTTTTTAATTCCGAAATGAGAGCAGAAAAATCTATAAATATGAAGATGCAGAGTATAACAGTTTTGGTTTTACCTATCATTTCAATTAATGTTATTATAATGCTTTTTTAAATTTATTTTTGTGTTTTTGTGGAAGAAAATAATAACTTCGTTAAGTCATAAAAAATTCTTGGAATTAGTCATGAATTTAAAAATCTAAAACGTATAGCAGATACCCTGNAGCTCACTGTATAATTTTACCTAAAATCAATATTTACAATTTTTTTGTTTTTGCATCAAATTACTTTTAGAAAAGAAAAAAAAAGAAATACGTCTATCTAACAATAAACTGTTTGTCACACCCCATAAAGTATTTACTATCATTTTTCTTATAAGCAATTTTTATGTAAGAAAAATCTTCAATTAAAAAAGGAAAAACTTATGCTCTTAATTAGGTGTGTCATAATATTTTTTCACCGAACAAGACTATTTATTCCATAATAGAAACGGAAACTGACCTGAAATATATAAAAAGGAAACAGCAATGTTTTTTATGGACTATTAGTTATCAATATTTGTAGATATATTTAAAGTAATGAGGGAGAAAATTGGAACATTAAATTACATCTTATTGAAGGAATTCCTGACTTTTATGTGCAAATGATAGCTTACCCGTTTTTCATTGCACGTCAGTAATTTATATTTACCGGAGAAACAGGAAAATAAAATTTCTTGAAGGATGGTCTTTACGCTAATATTTCAAAAATAGTTTAGTATTTACTTAAACTATATTATGCAGTAACTGTTTCTCAACATTTTTCTTTTACAGCAAAAGAAAGTTAGGTCGACTTAAAGATGTAAAATCGAAATGGAAATGGACTATTAAATTCTCAATATTGACAAAATTATTTGAATGTAATGGTCTAAGATATTTGATGTAGCGTGACTATTAAATAGTATTTGTTTATATAAAAGAAATTTAAGCCAATGAGAACAGTTTAGTAGCAAACGAAATAACAAATATCTAGAGCATAAAATATCGAAATTGATATTTGAACTTAAAAGAAGGGAAATAAAATTTCTTAAGTTTAAATATTCATTACTAGCTTGCTTACTTAACATAACGGTGTAGAAAAAATAGAAATATGGAAAAAGCAATAGAAATTATTCATTACAAACTTGCCTCTGTAACATGACTACGTAAATAAGTAGAAGAAACAAAATAGCAATTAAGTAGTATCACAAGCATCTGTTCTCAGCACTTACACAAATACTTGAAATTCGAAGAATGTGAATGAAATTTCTGTACGTGATTACACGTCTTACGAAATTGCTTCTGTAACATCACTATGTAGAGACGAATTGCAACGTGAAAGTATCAAGAGAATCAGTTATCAAAATTAAATAAAGCATTTCATCAAAGATAAATTGAAACATTTCCTTGCTTAATTGTATATATTACAAACTTACTTACATAACTTTACTGTGTAGAGAAAAAATGCAATTTAGCAGTATCAAAAGCATCTGTTCTCATCATAAACATTAATATTTGGAATAAGAAAAAAAAAATGAAATTTCTATGCGTATTTATATGCATTGCGAACTTGCTTCTGTAATATGAATATGTAGAGGCGAATAGAAATATAGGAGTATCAAGAGAATGAGTTATCAGCATTACCATAAATATTTGAAATAAGAAGAATTAAAATGAAATTTCTGTACGCATTTACATTCATAACAAACTTGCTTATTTTGCATGACATTGTAGAAACAAAATAGAAAAATAAGAGCATCAAGGGAATCGATTTTCCGTGTTAACATAAGCGGTTGAACTAGAAAACTGAAAACGAAATTTTTACGCCTATTTATAATTATCAAAAAGTTCGTTGTCCTACATCCATCATAGAGCAGAAAAACATTGCTATGTAAGAATTTTGGGCAATAGTTCACAGCATGAACAAAAACGTTTGAACTAAACAGATTCAACATGAAATTTCTGTACTTATTTACATCCATTACAAACTTGCTTACGAAACATGACGGTTTTCCAACATTTCTTTACATAATAGGAATTAAGACCCACGAGAAAAGTGTAAGAACAAAATGGCAAAATTTGCTATATAGAATATCGGTCTTTTTAATTCCTTTTACACAGATTTACAACATTTATTTGATAATCCATACTATGCTGCACTATTGTAAAGATTTTCATTGCAAAAAATTATATTTGGGGTATCTGTTCTGGAGAGTGTTTGTTTTAGCCGATTGGATCACATTAAAATTAAAACAAAAAGAAATTGCCCGTTTTGTACAAACCTTTAAAGCTTTAGAGCGATCAAACAAATCCATTGAAAAGATATATAATTTAATTAAAAATTGTATGACCATTGCGCTATTACTTA